CGTTGTTTCTATTTTGGGCCCTTTCTTTTTCCTGATAATGCGCTTGGTCACCATCTTCTGGATCGTCTTGCCTTCTGGCGTTTTGATTTCTTCAATGGTGATATCATCTGGTAGTTCGACAGTTTCAGGAGGCTTAGTTTCTTCTGGTTTCTTTTCTTCCGTGACGTGGACGGTAGGGATTGGGCCTTTGTCATCCTCTTCAGTCGTCAAGATTTCGATGACTTCCTGCTTCGGTCCCTGTTTCTGTTTGATAATGCGTTGAGTCACTTCTACTGTTTTTATATCACCTGTGTCTGTGTGCACTTGTGTTACTTGTACTGTGTCAGGTTGGTCTTTAATGACCTTGGCGGTGTCTGATTCGTGTAAAATGTCAAATGGTTCAGTAGTTTCGTCTGTAAGTTGTTGAGATGTGTGTACTGTAATGATCGGAGCTTGATCGTCTAGCTGCTCAGATGTAATCTCAGTGGTGTCAATTTTAGGTCCTACCTTTTTCTTAATAACGCGTTTGGTAGTTTTCTTTTTGGTAATCTTACCTTCGGGTGTCCTTTCCTCTTCAACTGTTGTTTCTTCGGGGAGTTCAACTATATGTGGTGATTCGGTTTCTTCTTCCGATGGCGTTTCCTCTACAACTGTAACTGTGGTGACCGGTGCTTCTTCACCTACTTGAGTAGTGAGAACCTCCGTGGTTTGTTCTTTTGGACCGTTCTTTTTCTTAATGACGCGTTTGGTGGTTTTTACTGTCTTCACATCACCAGCTTCAGTGCGAACCTGACTGAACTGCACATGCTCCGGCTCTTCTACTACGTTAGCAGAATCAACATTGAATATGGTCTTGAGAGGAGTTGTGACATCTTTAACGAGTACTTCTACTGTATGCATAGAAACAACCGGCTGCTTGTCGTCTTCCTGTTCTGCAACGATTTCAGTTGTTTCTATTTTGGGTCCTTTCTTTTTCTTGATGATGCGCTTGGTCACCTTCTTTGTAATTGTCTTGCCTTCTGGCATTTCGATTTTTTCAATAGTGGTTTCTTCCGGTAGTTCAACAGTTTCGGTAGGCTTCGTTTCTTCTGGTTTCTCGTCTTCTGTGACGTGGACGGTGGTGATTGGAGCTTTGTCATCTTCTTCAGTAGTCAAGATTTCGGTGAATTCCTGCTTCGGTCCCTTTTTCTTTTTAATCACACGTTTAGTAACTTTTACTGTTTTTATATCACCTGTGTCTGTTTTCACTTGTGTTACTTGTATTGTGTCAGGTTGTCCTACAATGACCTCGGCGGTGTCGGGTTTGTGTAATGTGTCGAAAGGTTCAGTGGATACGTCTGTAATTTGTTCGGTGGTGTGTATTATTGGTGTTTCATCGTCTAGCTGTTCAGATGTGATTTCAGTAGTTTCAGTTTTAGGTCCTACCTTTTTCTTAGTAACGCGTTTGGTAGTTTCCTTTTTAGTTATCTTACCTTCGGGTGTCCTTTCCTCTTCAACTATTGTTTCTTCGGGTAGTTCCACTATATGTGCTGATTCGGTTTCTTCTTCTGATGGTGTTTCCTCTACAACAGTAACCGTGGTGTCCGGTGCTTCTTCATCTATTTGAGTAGTGAGCACCTCCGTTATTTGATCTTCCGGACCCTTCTTTTTCTTAATGACTCGTTTGGTAGTTTTTACTGTCTTAACATCGCCAGTTTCAGTGCGAACCTGACTGAACTGCACATGCTCCGGCTCTTCTACTACGTTAGCAGAATCTACATTGAAAATGGTCTCCAGGGGAGCTGTAACATCTTCGACGAGCTCTTCTTCTGTATGCACACAAACTACCGGCTGCTTGTGGTCTTCCAGTTCCGTAACGGTTTCAGTTGTTTCTATGTTAGGTCCTTTCTTTTTCTTAATGATGCGTTTGGTAACTTTTTTCTGGCTCGTCTTGCCTTCTGGCGTTTCGATTTCTTCAATGACGTTTTCTTCTGGAAGTTCGACAGTTTCAGTAGGCTTTGTTTCTTCTGGTTTCCCCTCTTCCATGACGTGAACGGTTGTGATTGGGGCTTTGTCATCCTCTTCAGTCGTCACGATTTCGATGACTTCCTGCTTCGGTCCCTTCTTCTTTTTGATAACTCGTTTAGTAACTTTAACTGTTTTTATATCACCTGTGTCTGTATGCACTTGTGTTACTTGTACTGTGTCAGGTTGGTCTTTAATGACCTCGGCGGTGTCTGGTTTGTGTAAAATGTCAAATGGTTCAGTAGTTTCGTCTGTAAGTTGTTGAGATGTGTGTACTGTAATGATCGGAGCTTGATCGTCTAGCTGCTCAGATGTAATCTCAGTGGTGTCAATTTTAGGTCCTTCCTTTTTCTTAATAACGCGTTTGGTAGTTTTCTTTTTAGTAATCTTACCTTCGGGTGTCCTTTCCTCTTCAACTGTTGTTTCTTCGGGGAGTTCAACTATATGTGCTGATTCGGTTTCTTCTTCCGATGGCGTTTCCTCTACAACAGTAACTATGGTGACCGGTGATTCTTCACCTACTTGAGTAGTGAGAACCTCCGTGATTTGTTCTTTCGGACCCTTCTTTTTCTTAATGACGCGTTTGGTCGTTTTGAGTGTCTTCACATCACCAGTTTCAGTGCGGACCTGACTGAATTGCACATGCTCGGGCTCTTCTACTACGTCAGCAGAATCGACATCGAAAATGGTCTTGAGGGGAGCTGTGACATCTTCGACGAGCTCTTCTTCTGTATGCACAGAAACAACCGGCTGCTTGTCGTCTTCCTGTTCCGTAACGATTTCAGTTGTTTCTATTTTGGGTCCTTTCTTTTTCTTGATGATGCGCTTGGTCACCTTCTTCGTTATGGTCTTGCCTTCTGGCGTTTCGATTTTTTCAATGGTGGTTTCTTCCGGTAGTTCAACAGTTTCGGTAGGCTTTGTTTCTTCTGGTTTCTCGTCTTCCGTGACGTGGACGGTGGTAATTGGAGCTTTGTCATCTTCTTCAGTAGTCACGATTTCGGTGACTTCCTGCTTCGGTCCCTTTTTCTTTTTAATCACACGTTTAGAAACTTTCACTGTTTTTATATCACCTGTATCTGTGTGCACTTGTGTTACTTGTACTGTGTCAGGTTGTTTTTCAATAACCTCGGCGGTGTCGGGTTTGTGTAATGTGTCGTAAGGTTCAGTGGATTCGTCTGTAATTTGTTCGGTGGTGTGTACTGATATTATTGGTGTTTCATCGTCTAGCTGTTCAGATGTGATTTCAGTTGTTTCAGTTCTAGGTCCTACTTTTTTCTTAATGACGCGTTTGGTCGTTTTGACTGTCTTTACATCACCAGTTTCAGTGCGGACCTGACTGAATTGCACATGCTCGGGCTCTGCTACTACGTCAGCAGAATCGACATCGAAAATGGTCTCGAGGGGAGCTGTGACATCTTCGACGAGCTCTTCTTCTGTATGCACAGAAACAACCGGCTGCTTGTCGTCTTCCTGTTCCGTAACGATTTCAGTTGTTTCTATTTTGGGTCCTTTCTTTTTCTTGATGATGCGCTTGGTCACCTTCTTCGTTATTGTCTTGCCCTCTGGCGTTTCGATTTCTTCAACGGTGGTTTCTTCCGGCAGTTCGACAGTTTCGGTAGACTTGGTTTCTTCCGGTTTTACTTCTTCAGTGACGTGAACGGTGGTAATTGGAGCTTTGTCATCTTCTTGAGTCTTTGTTTCTTCTGATTTCTCGTCTTCCGTGACGTGGACGGTGGTGATTGGAGCTTTGTCATCTTCTTCAGTAGTCACGATTTCGGTGACTTCCTGCTTCGGTCCCTTTTTCTTTTTAATCACACGTTTAGTAACTTTTACTGTTTTTATATCACCTGTGTCTGTTTTCACTTGTGTTACTTGTACTGTGTCAGGTTGTTCTACAATGACCACGGCGGTGTCGGGTTTGTGTAATGTGTCGAAAGGTTCAGTGGATTCGTCTGTAATTTGTTCGGTGGTGTGTACTGATATTATTGGTGTTTCATCGTCTAGCTGTTCAGATGTGATTTCAGTAGTTTCAGTTTTAGGTCCTACCTTTTTCTTAATTACGCGTTTGGTAGTTATCTTTTTGGTAATCTTACCTTCGGGTGTCTTTTCTTCTGTAACTGTTGTTTCTTCGGGGAGTTCCACTATTTGAACTGGCTCAGTTTCTTCATCTGATGGTATTTCATCCACAAGGCTTACTGTAGTGACCGGTGCTTCTTCACCTACTTGAGTAGTTACAACCTCCGTGATTTGTTCTTTCGGACCCTTCTTTTTCTTTATGACGCGTTTGGTCGTTTTGACTGTCTTTACATCACCAGTTTCAGTGCGGACCTGACTGAATTGCACATGCTCGGGCTCTTCTACTACGTCAGCAGAATCGACATCGAAAATGGTCTCGAGGGGAGCTGTGACATCTTCGACGAGCTCTTCTTCTGTATGCACAGAAACAACCGGCTGCTTGTCGTCTTCCTGTTCCGTTACGATTTCAGTTGTTTCTATTTTGGGTCCTTTCTTTTTCTTGATGATGCGCTTGGTCACCTTCTTCGTTATTGTCTTGCCTTCTGGCGTTTCGATTTTTTCAATGGTGGTTACTTCCGGTAGTTCAACAGTTTCGGTAGGCTTTGTTTCTTCTGGTTTCTCGTCTTCCTTGACGTGGACGATGGTGATTGGAGCTTTGTCATCTTCTTCAGTGGTCACGATTTCGGTGACTTGCTGCTTCGGTCCCTTTTGTTTTTTAATCACTTTTTTAGAAACCTTTACTGTTTTGACCTCACCTGTGTCTGTTTTCACTTGTGTTACTTGTACTGTGTCAGGTTGTTCTACAATGACCTCGGCGGTGTCGGGTTTGTGTAATGTGTCGAAAGGTTCAGTGGATTCGTCTGTAATTTGTTCGGTGGTGTGTACTGATATTATTGGTGTTTCATTGTCTAGCTGATCAGATGTGATTTCAGTGGTTTCAATTTTAGGTCCTACCTTTTTCTTGATGACGCGTTTGGTAGTTATCTTTTTGGTAATCTTACCTTCGGGTGTCTTTTCTTCTTTAACTGTGGTTTCTTCGGGGAGTTCCACTATTTGAACTGGTTCAGTTTCTTCATCTGATGGTTTTTCATCCACAAGGCTTACTGTAGTGACCGGTGCTTCTTCACCTACTTGAGTAGTTACAACTTCCGTGATTTGTTCTTTCGGACCCTTCTTTTTCTTAATGACGCGTTTGGTCGTTTTGACTGTCTTTACATCACCAGTTTCAGTGCGGACCTGACTGAATTGCACATGCTCGGGCTCTTCTACTACGTCAGCAGAATCGACATCGAAAATGGTCTCGAGGGGAGCTGTGACATCTTCGACGAGCTCTTCTTCTGTATGCACAGAAACCACAGGCTGCTTGTCGTCTTCCTGTTCTGTAACGATTTCAGTTGTTTCTATTTTGGGTCCTTTCTTTTTCTTGATGATGCGCTTAGCCACCCTCTTCGTTATGGTCTTGCCTTCTGGCGTTTCGATTTTTTCAATGGTGGTTTCTTCTGGTAGTTCAACAGTTTCGCTAGGCTTTGTTTCTTCTGGTTTCTCTTCTTCTGTGACGTGGACGGTGGTAATTGGAGCTTTGTCATCTTCTTCAGTAGTCACGATTTCGGTGACTTCCTGCTTGGGTCCCTTTTTCTTTTTAATCACTCGTTTAGTAACCTTTATTTTTTTGACCTCACCTGTGTCTGTTTTCACTTGTGTTACTTGTACTGTGTCAGGTTGTTCTACAATGACCTCGGCGGTGTCGGGTTTGTGTAATGTGTCGAAAGGTTCAGTGGATTCGTCTGTAATTTGTTCGGTGGTGTGTACTGATATTATTGGTGTTTCATCGTCTAGCTGTTCAGATGTGATTTCAGTAGTTTCAATTTTAGGTCCTACCTTTTTCTTGATGACGCGTTTGGTAGTTATCTTTTTGGTAATCTTACCTTCGGGTATCTTTTCTTCTTTAACTGTAGTTTCTTCGGGGAGTTCCACTATTTGAACTGGTTCAGTTTCTTCATCGGATGGTTTTTCATCCACGAGGCTTACTGTAGTGACCGGTGCTTCTTCACCTACTTGAGTAGTTACAACCTCCGTGATTTGTTCTTTCGGACCCTTCTTTTTCTTTATGACGCGTTTGGTCGTTTTGACTGTCTTTACATCACCAGTTTCAGTGCGGACCTGACTGAATTGCACATGCTCGGGCTCTTCTACTACGTCAGCAGAATCGACATCGAAAATGGTCTCGAGGGGAGCTGTGACATCTTCGACGAGCTCTTCTTCTGTATGCACAGAAACAACTGGCTGCTTGTCGTCTTCCTGTTCCGTAACGATTTCAGTTGTTTCTATTTTGGGTCCTTTCTTTTTCTTGATGATGCGCTTGGTCACCTTCTTCGTTATTGTCTTGCCTTCTGGCGTTTCGATTTTTTCAATGGTGGTTTCTTCCGGTAGTTCAACAGTTTCGGTAGGCTTTGTTTCTTCTGGTTTCTCTTCTTCTGTGACGTGGACGGTGGTAATTGGAGCTTTGTCATCTTCTTCAGTAGTCACGATTTCGGTGACTTCCTGCTTCGGTCCCTTTTTCTTTTTAATCACTCGTTTAGTAACCTTTATTTTTTTGACCTCACCTGTGTCTGTTTTCACTTGTGTTACTTGTACTGTGTCAGGTTGTTCTTCAATGACCTCGGTGGTGTCGGGTTTGTGTAATGTGTCGAAAGTTTCAGTGGATTCGTCTGTAATTTGTTCAGTGGTGTGTACTGATATTATTGGTGTTTCATCGTCTAGCTGTTCAGATGTGATTTCAGTAGTTTCAATTTTAGGTCCTACCTTTTTCTTGATGACGCGTTTGGTAGTTATCTTTTTGGTAATCTTACCTTCGGGTGTCTTTTCTTCTTTAACTGTGGTTTCTTCGGGGAGTTCCACTATTTGAACTGGTTCAGTTTCTTCATCTGATGGTTTTTCATCCACAAGGCTTACTGTAGTGACCGGTGCTTCTTCACCTACTTGAGTAGTTACAACCTCCGTGATTTGTTCTTTCGGACCCTTCTTTTTCTTAATGACGCGTTTGGTCGTTTTGACTGTCTTCACTTCACCAGTTTCAGTGCGAACCTGACTGAGCTGCACATGCTCGGGCTCTTCTACTACGTTAGCAGAATCTATATCGAAAATGGTCTCGAGGGGAGCTGTGACATCTTCGACGAGCTCTTCTTCTGTATGCACAGAAATCACAGGCTGCTTGTCGTCTTCCTGTTCCGTAACGATTTCAGTTGTTTCTATTTTGGGTCCTTTCTTTTTCTTGATGATGCGCTTGGTCACCTTCTTCGTTATTGTCTTGCCCTCTGGCGTTTCGATTTCTTCAACGGTGGTTTCTTCCGGCAGTTCGACAGTTTCGGTAGGCTTGGTTTCTTCCGGTTTTACTTCTTCAGTGACGTGAACGGTGGTAATTGGAGCTTTGTCATCTTCTTCAGTCTTTGCTTCTTCTGCTTTCTCGTCTTCCGTGACGTGGACGGTGGTGATTGGAGCTTTGTCATCTTCTTCAGTAGTCACGATTTCGGTGACTTCCTGCTTCGGTCCCTTTTTCTTTTTAATCACTCGTTTAGTAACCTTTATTTTTTTGACCTCACCTGTGTCAGTTTTCACTTGTGTTACTTGTACAGTGTCAGGTTGTCCTAAAATGACCTCGGCGGTGTCGGGTTTGTGTAATGTGTCGAAAGGTTCAGTGGATTCGTCTGTTATTTGTTCGGTGGTGTGTACTGATATTATTGGTGTTTCATCGTCTAGCTGTTCAGATGTGATTTCAGTAGTTTCAATTTTAGGTCCTACCTTTTTCTTGATGACGCGTTTGGTAGTTATCTTTTTGGTAATCTTACCTTCGGGTGTCTTTTCTTCTTTAACTGTGGTTTCTTCGGGGAGTTCCACTATTTGAACTGGTTCAGTTTCTTCATCTGATGGTTTTTCATCCACAAGGCTTACTGTAGTGACCGGTGCTTCTTCACCTACTTGAGTAGTTACAACTTCCGTGATTTGTTCTTTCGGACCCTTCTTTTTCTTAATGACGCGTTTGGTCGTTTTGACTGTCTTCACTTCACCAGTTTTAGTGCGAACCTGACTGAGCTGCACATGCTCGGGCTCTTCTACTACGTTAGCAGAATCTATATCGAAAATGGTCTCGAGGGGAGCTGTGACATCTTCGACGAGCTCTTCTTCTGTATGCACAGAAACCACAGGCTGCTTGTCGTCTTCCTGTTCCGTAACGATTTCAGTTGTTTCTATTTTGGGTCCTTTCTTTTTCTTGATGATGCGCTTGGTCACCTTCTTCGTTATTGTCTTGCCCTCTGGCGTTTCGATTTCTTCAACGGTGGTTTCTTCCGGCAGTTCGACAGTTTCGGTAGGTTTGGTTTCTTCCGGATTTACTTCTTCAGTGACGTGAACGGTGGTAATTGGAGCTTTGTCATCTTCTTCAGTCTTTGTTTCTTCTGATTTCTCGTCTTCCGTGACGTGGACGGTGGTGATTGGAGCTTTGTCATCTTCTTCAGTAGTCACGATTTCGGTGACTTCCTGCTTCGGTCCCTTTTTCTTTTTAATCACACGTTTAGTAACTTTTACTGTTTTTATATCACCTGTGTCTGTTTTCACTTGTGTTACTTGTACTGTGTCAGGTTGTTCTACAATGACCTCGGCGGTGTCGGGTTTGTGTAATGTGTCGAAAGGTTCAGTGGATTCGTCTGTAATTTGTTCGGTGGTGTGTACTGATATTATTGGTGTTTCATCGTCTAGCTGTTCAGATGTGATTTCAGTAGTTTCAGTTTTAGGTCCTACCTTTTTCTTAATTACGCTTTTGGTAGTTATCTTTTTGGTAATCTTACTTTCGGGTATCTTTTCTTCTGTAACTGTTGTTTCTTCGGGGAGTTCCACTATTTGAACTGGCTCAGTTTCTTCATCTGATGGTATTTCATCCACAAGGCTTACTGTAGTGACCGGTGCTTCTTCACCTACTTGAGTAGTTACAACCTCCGTGATTTGTTCTTTCGGACCCTTCTTTTTCTTTATGACGCGTTTGGTCGTTTTGACTGTCATTACATCACCAGTTTCAGTGCGGACCTGACTGAATTGCACATGCTCGGGCTCTTCTACTACGTCAGCAGAATCGACATCGAAAATAGTCTCGAGGGGAGCTGTGACATCTTCGACGAGCTCTTCTTCTGTATGCACAGAAACAACCGGCTGCTTGTCGTCTTCCTGTTCCGTAACGATTTCAGTTGTTTCTATTTTGGGTCCTTTCTTTTTCTTGATGATGCGCTTGGTCACCTTCTTCGTTATGGTCTTGCCTTCTGGCGTTTCGATTTTTTCAATGGTGGTTTCTTCCGGTAGTTCAACAGTTTTGGTAGGCTTTGTTTCTTCTGGTTTCTCGTCTTCCGTGACGTGGACGGTGGTGATTGGAGCTTTGTCATCTTCTTCAGTAGTCACGATTTCGGTGACTTCCTGCTTCGGTCCCTTTTTCTTTTTAATCACACGTTTAGTAACTTTTACTGTTTTTATATCACCTGTGTCTGTTTTCACTTGTGTTACTTGTACTGTTTCAGGTTGTACTTCAATGACCTCGGCGGTGTCGGGTTTGTGTAATGTGTCGAAAGGTTCAGTGGATTCGTCTGTAATTTGTTCGGTGGTGTGTACTGATATTATTGGTGTTTCATCGTCTAGCTGTTCAGATGTGATTTCAGTAGTTTCAATTTTAGGTCCTACCTTTTTCTTGATGACGCGTTTGGTAGTTATCTTTTTGGTAATCTTACCTTCGGGTGTCTTTTCTTCTTTAACTGTAGTTTCTTCGGGGAGTTCCACTATTTGAACTGGTTCAGTTTCTTCATCGGATGGTTTTTCATCCACGACGCTTACTGTAGTGACCGGTGCTTCTTCACCTACTTGAGTAGTTACAACCTCCGTGATTTGTTCTTTCGGACCCTTCTTTTTCTTTATGACGCGTTTGGTCGTTTTGACTGTCTTTACATCACCAGTTTCAGTGCGGACCTGACTGAATTGCACATGCTCGGGCTCTTCTACTACGTCAGCAGAATCGACATCGAAAATGGTCTCGAGGGGAGCTGTGACATCTTCGACGAGCTCTTCTTCTGTATGCACAGAAACAACCGGCTGCTTGTCGTCTTCCTGTTCCGTAACAATTTCAGTTGTTTCTATTTTGGGTCCTTTCTTTTTCTTGATGATGCGCTTAGCCACCCTCTTCGTTATGGTCTTGCCTTCTGGCGTTTCGATTTTTTCAATGGCGGTTTCTTCCGGTAGTTCAACAGTTTCGGTAGGCTTTGTTTCTTCTGGTTTGTCTTCTTCCGTGACGTGGACGGTGGTGATTGGAGATTTGTCATCTTCTTCAGTAGTCACGATTTCGGTGACTTCCTGCTTCGGTCCCTTTTTCTTTTTAATCACTCGTTTAGTAACCTTTACTGTTTTTACCTCACCTGTGTCCGTTTTCACCTGTGTTACTTGTACTGTGTCAGGTTGTTCTTCAATGACCTCGGCGGTGTCGGGTTTGTGTAATGTGTCGAAAGGTTCAGTGGATTCGTCTGTAATTTGTTCGGTGGTGTGTACTGATATTATTGGTGTTTCATCGTCTCGCTGTTCAGATGTGATTTCAGTAGTTTCAATTTTAGGTCCTACCTTTTTCTTGATGACGCGTTTGGTAGTTATCTTTTTGGTAATCTTACCTTCGGGTGTCTTTTCTTCTTTAACTGTTGTTTCTTCGGGGAGTTCCACTATTTGAACTGGCTCAGTTTCTTCATCTGATGGTATTTCATCCACAAGGCTTACTGTAGTGACCGGTGCTTCTTCACCTACTTGAGTAGTTACAACCTCCGTGATTTGTTCTTTTGGACCCTTCTTTTTCTTAATGACGCGTTTGGTCGTTTTGACTGTCTTTACATCACCAGTTTCAGTGCGGACCTGACTGAATTGCACATGCTCGGGCTCTTCCACTACGTCAGCAGAATCGACATCGAAAATGGTCTCGAGGGGAGCTGCGACATCTTCAACGAGCTCTTCGTCTGTATGCACAGAAACCACAGGCTGCTTGTCGTCTTCCTGTTCCGTAACGATTTCAGTTGTTTCAATTTTGGGTCCCTTCTTTTTTTCGATGATGCGCTTAGTCACCCTCTTCGTTATTTTCTTGCCTTCTGGCGTTTCGATTTTTTCAATGGTGATTTCTTCCGGTAGTTCAACAGTTTCAGTAGGCTTTGTTTCTTCTGGTTTCTCTTCTTCCGTGACGTGGACAGTGGTGATTGGAGATTTGTCATCTTCTTCAGTAGTCACGATTTCGGTTACTTCCTGCTTCGGTCCCTTTTTCTTTTTAATCACTCGTTTAGTAACCTTTACTGTTTTTACCTCACCTGTGTCCGTTTTCACCTGTGTTACTTGTACTGTGTCAGGTTGTTCTTCAATGACCTCGGCGGTATCGGGTTCGTGTAATGTGTCGAAAGGTTCAGCGGATTCGTCTGTAATTTGTTCGGTGGTGTGTACTGATATTATTGGTGTTTCATCGTCTAGCTGTTCAGATGTGATTTCAGTAGTTTCAGTTTTAGGTCCTACCTTTTTCTTGATGACGCGTTTAGTAGTTTTCTTTTTGGTAATCTTACCTTCGGGTGTCTTTTCTTCTTTAACTGTTGTTTCTTCGGGGAGTTCCACTATTTGAACTGGTTCAGTTTCTTCATCGGATGGTTTTTCATCCACAAGGCTTACTGTAGTGACCGGTGCTTCTTCACCTACTTGAGTAGTTACAACCTCCGTGATTTGTTCTTTTGGACCCTTCTTTTTCTTAATGACGCGTTTGGTCGTTTTGACTGTCTTTACATCACCAGTTTCAGTGCGGACCTGACTGAATTGCACATGCTCGGGCTCTTCCACTACGTTAGCAGAATCGATATCGAAAATGGTCTCGAGAGGAGCTGTGACATCTTCGACGAGCTCTTCCTCTGTATGCACAGAAACCACAGGCTGCTTGTCGTCTTCCTGTTCCGTAACAATTTCAGTTGTTTCTATTTTGGGTCCTTTCTTTTTCTTGATGATGCGCTTGGTCACCTTCTTCGTTATTGTCTTGCCCTCTGGCGTTTCGATTTCTTCAACGGTGGTTTCTTCCGGCAGTTCAACAGTTTCGGTAGGCTTTGTTTCTTCCGGTTTTACTTCTTCGGTGACGTGAACGGTGGTGATTGGAGCTTTGTCATCTTCTTCAGTAGTCACGATTTCGGTTACTTCCTGTTTCGGTCCCTTTTTCTTTTTAATTACTCGTTTGGTAACCTTGACTGTTTTGACGTCACCTGTGTCCGTTTTCACTTGTGTTACTTGTACTGTGTCAGGTTGTTCTTCAATGACCTCGGCGGTGTCGGGTTTGTGTAATGTGTCGAAAGGTTCAGTGGATTCGTCTGTAATTTGTTCGGTGGTGTGTACTGAAATTATTGGTGTTTCATCGTCTTGTTGTTCAGATGTGATCTCAGTAGTTTCAATTTTAGGTCCTACCTTTTTCTTGATGACGCGTTTGGTAGTTTTCTTTTTGGTAATCTTACCTTCGGGTGTCGTTTCTTCTTTAACTGTGGTTTCTTCGGGGAGTTCCACTATTTGAACTGGTTCAGTTTCTTCATCGGATGGTTTCTCATCCACAAGAGTAACTGTGGTGACCGGTGCTTCTTCACCTACTTGAGTAGTGAGAACCTCCGTGATTTGTTCTTTCATACCCTTCTTTTTCTTAATGACGCGTTTGGTCGTTTTGACAATCTTCACATCACCAGTTTCAGTGCGGACCTGACTAAATTGCACATGCTCGGGCTCTTCTACTACGTTAGCAGAATCGACATCGAAAATGGTCTCGAGGGGAGCTGTGACATCTTCGACGAGCTCTTCTTCTGTATGCACAGAAACCACAGGCTGCTTGTCGTCTTCCTGTTCCGTAACGATTTCAGTTGTTTCTATTTTAGGTCCTTTCTTTTTCTTGATGATGCGCTTGGTCACCTTTTTTGTTATTGTCTGGCCCTCTGGCGTTTCGATTTTTTCAACAGTGGTTTCTTCCGGCAGTTCAACAGTTTCGGTAGGCTTTGTTTCTTCCGGTTTTACTTCTTCGGTGACGTGAACGGTGGTGATTGGAGCTTTGTCATCTTCTTCAGTAGTCACGATTTCGGTTACTTCCTGCTTAGGTCCCTTTTTCTTTTTAATTACTCGTTTGGTAACCTTGACTGTTTTGACGTCACCTGTGTCCGTTTTCACTTGTGTTACTTGTACTGTGTCTGGTTGTTCTTCAATGACCTCGGCGGTGTCGGGTTTGTGTAATGTGTCGAAAGGTTCAGTGGATTCGTCTGTAATTTGTTCGGTGGTGTGTACTGATATTATTGGTGTTTTATCGTCTTGTTGTTCAGATAAGATCTCAGTAGTTTCAATTTTAGGTCCTACCTTTTTCTTGATGACGCGTTTGGTAGTTTTCTTTTTGGTTATCTTACCTTCGGGTGTCTTTTCTTCTTTAACTGTTGTTTCTTCGGGGAGTTCCACTATTTGAACTGGTTCAGTTTCTTCATCGGATGGTTTTTCATCCACAACAGTAACTGTGGTGACCGGTGCTTCTTCACCTAATTGAGTAGTTAGAACCTCCGTGATTTGTTCTTTGGGACCCTTCTTTTTCTTAATGACGCGTTTGGTCGTTTTGACTGTCTTCACTTCACCAGTTTCAGTGCGAACCTGACTGAGCTGCACATGCTCGGGCTCTTCTACTACGTTAGCAGAATCGATATCGAAAATGGTCTCGAGAGGAGCTGTGACATCTTCGACGAGCTCTTCTTCTGTATGCACAGAAACAACAGGCTGCTTGTCGTCTTCCTGTTCCGTAACGATTTCAGTTGTTTCTATTTTCGGTCCTTTCTTTTTCTTGATGATGCGCTTGGTCACCTTCTTCGTTATTGTCTTACCCTCTGGCGTTTCGATTTCTTCAACGGTGGTTTCTTCCGGCAGTTCAACAGTTTCGGTAGGCTTTGTTTCTTCCGGTTTTACTTCTTCGGTGACGTGAACGGTGGTGATTGGAGCTTTGTCATCTTCTT